GGCTCTGTAAGAACCTGGACTAGAACCAGTCTGGTTCCGGAACAGCAGCAGATAAACCTCCAGCTGTTTGACTTGCAGCATCGTTGTTTGTGTTCCTCTTCAAGGTCTCCTCTCATATTTTATGACTTTCTTCTCTTGCTGCCTGCTAATTTGTGGAATTATATTTTCTGCCTCTGTTTATATCTTTTATCGCTCTCTTTTATTTCTTTTTGTCAGTAGAAAGCCAATTTGTCCCTCTGTTATGAATCACGCTCTTCTTTCTTTTCTTATTCCATTTCATCTGTCATTTCCACCCCCACCCCCCATTCTTAATGTATCTGTGTCTGAATCTCAGCATCTGGTGTGCTTTTCTCTGTCTGCCCCCACCCCCCGTGTAGAGAGCGATGCTGCTGGCAGGTCTGGGTGCTTTAAGCCTCGGAGAAGCACTCTGCATGTCTTTTAGATAATGAAAATGCAGACATCCAGAGAGACGGCCTCTCTGCTTGTATCACATCACATCACAGCAATTTGGACGTGACAAAGTGTTTGGGAGGGGTCGTCTCCGCGGACGGAAGTTTTATTGTGTCTGTCACCTCCAGGACGGCGTTCATGATGTCATTGTTTTATATGTTCTGTACATCAGGGCTGCAGGAGGACACGGAAGTGCGCGCGTCATGTGCACGTGTGTTTAATAGAACAGAGGAACGCAAACATAAAACAAACGTCTACTTTGTGTAACTTTTCCAGAGTCTGCACTGTAAAACCTGCTGACCCAGTTCAACTCAAATCAATCGAGTAAACTGATTGTCTTGCGTCATTTAGGTTGACTAACTTAAAACATGGCATGCGTGCATGGACTGGACGACAGTGAGGATGATGTTCTGGGAGGAGTCAGCAGGTGAAGCGATCTGATGGTCCACCCCGCAGCAGCATGAGTGAGAACAGCGAGGCAGAGGGCGTCTGAATAAAAGCCTCTTTTGACTTTTTATTTCACATGTCAGCAAATTTCTGATCGTTAGCATTAAAATGGTGTTTTGCTCAGTATTTGTTCTCAAATTTGCTATAAAAATAGTTTATTTAAAAAGTGATTTTTTTAATCGTTTTTCTTGGAAAGGGGGGTCGTCCTACATCCGGATCGATCCGGAACTCTATAACCCTTCGACCATAAAGCTTTTGTAACCTACTGTTGTTTTGCAGAAAGACCGTTGGTGTGTGTGTGTGTGTGTGTGTGTGTGTGTGTGTGTGTGTGTGTGTGTGTGTGTGTGTGCGTGTGCGTGTGCGTGTGCGTGTGCGTGTGCGTGTGTGTGTGTGTGTGTGTGTGTGTGTGTGTGGATCCTCACCTCTGCTCCTCAGGTGTGACAGGCAGGCCGCACCAGGCGCCATCAATCAGAGGCTATTAAGGTGGAGCACTTAAAAGCAGGCCGGAGGAAGAAAGCAGATGCCAGATGATTAAGCCACACAGCTTGGTAATCAGGTGAGCTCTGTGCGTCCTTGTGCTTCCCAGTGTTCTTCTCACCAGTGATGTTTTGTCTCACAGCCGTCCCAACCTCCTGAGTTCCCAGACCTAAGGATCTCCCAGCATCTTCCCTGAACCGCGGTGTCTGCTTCACCCTGGCTGCAGCGCTCCAGCTCTGTCATCTATGCCCTGTTGGATCCTCCTCTTCTCCACCTGCCTGTCAACCCTCGAGCCTCCAGCGCTCCTAGGAAATCTCAACCACAGCCTGCCACACTCCCACACTGGACCTCACCTCCCTCAATGCTCCTCGCCACGCAGACCAGTAAGCTCTCCCCCTTCATTCTATTACCAGAACACGGCCTCCTTGCTCCTCGACTCACCTTCTGTTTCCCCTTCAGAGCCGCCTCTGTGAACCCGTCCAGAGTTCCTCCACCACACCGAGAGCCTGCTGAACTTTTAATAAAACAGGACAGGACTCAGCAGTTCATTTGCATCTAAAGGACAAAGGTCACTCTTTCGAGGATGCCAACGTTCACATTTTGGACAGAGGACCGATGGTTTGAAAGAAGAGTAAAGGAAGCCATTTATGTCCACTGTGAGCAACCATCTTTGAACAGAGGCGGTGGTTTACGACACCAACTGTCTGCCATCTATAATCCAGTTTTGAGATCCCTTCCCAGATGCCTCAACGCCCACGCATATCCTGGGCCATCTGACCTCAGGAATTCACATGATAGGGTGGGGCCAGGCTTCACAATGAGCTCACCCGAAACTCTGGCTGAAATCTTTTTCACACCCACCCTCACACCTTGGCTCATGTGTTTATGTAGAAGATCATCAGGGGGTCTTTTGTTCCCTCTTCGGGGGGAAACTCCCACTGGGTTTGAATCTGGGACTCTCCACCATTTGACCTTAGACCGGAAGAAGCCTCTCGGATGAGAGGTGAAACAACGTCCTAAAGCAACTCAAAGAAGTCCAGACGCTTTTCTTTCAAAGCTCATTAGACTACAATGACCTGGATGACTGAGAACCTTCACAGACTTTTAATAAAACTGTTAAACTTTCTCCTGTGTCCGGGTGTGTTCGCTCCAGAGTCTCCTGAGAACATCTGGATTTAGGTCACACAGCATATTAAACGCTAGACCGCTTTAACTTCGCCATACTTATGGTTTGTGAATTTACTCAGGAACTGAAACAAGGATACAACTAAACGCAACATAACTACTGAAGAACATTACTAAAAACGGTGGTCAGTAGTCGTAACAAAGCAGTTCCTCAGGATGAACACCTCAGGGTCACCTGCCCAGTTCAGCAGGGCCTACGTGTTTAGATCCTTAGTAAATGAGTTTATGGATGTCAACCAAAATAAAGTATATCTAACTAAATTCAGATGTTTAAGTAACACTTGCAACACTGAAGTAAACTAACCCTAACTCAGTTCTGCAGAGGTAGTAATGAAGGTTTTCACCTGATCATGTGAACTTACTTCGTTTATAGATGTGCTGTTAGGTTTTACAGTGTAGAGCTTCAGTTTTCCTCTGCCTCCTTGCTTCATAGGTCACATTATTTAAGGAATGATCTGAAATGATTTTTCCAGACTGTCTTATTCCGGGCTTTATTTTGAAAATAGAATAATTATCTGTGAATATGAAGGATAAAATGATGATTTCCACACAGGTGTTCTTAGGGTGGTTGTAAAAATCAGTCCATAAATATTAGATTTAAACTCGTTTACGTTTGCTTTGGGAATTTGTTGGAATCATGCCACGGTTTTCCTGTTTTGTTCCATTAATTGTGACTTCCTGCCCCCTCATCAGCTGACTCACAGATGAAATCTGGACTGAGTTTCCAGCTGATTGGGATGCAGTGACCTGATGATGGCCAGGAAGTTAATAAGCTGTGAGGGAGACCAGCGTTGATCATTTAGACTCGGATCTCTGCAGGCGGAGAGCGGAGCTTCATCATCTCCTTTAGGTTGGATGGATGCTGCAGAAAGATCTGCTCAGATAATATTTGGACTTCATATGTTAAGTCTGTCAGTCCAGAACACGTCTGAAGAACATCCAAACTAGGTCTTTGCACAGTTGGATATGTCCCTGACTGTTCCCTGACTGGTCCCTGGTATGTCCCTGACACGTCCCTGACTGGTTTCTGATATGTCCCTGACTGGTCTCTGAAATGTCCCTGACTAGTCCCTGATATGTCCCTGACTGGTCTCTGAAATGTCCCTGACTGGTCCCTGATATGTCCCTGACTGGTCTCTGAAATGTCCCTGACTGGTCCCTGATATGTCCCTGATATGTCCCTGACTGGTCTCTGATATGTCCCTGACTGGTCCCTGACATGTCCCTGACTGGTCTCTGAAATGTCCCTGACTGGTCCCTGATATGTCCCTGACACGTCCCTGACTGGTCTCTGATATGTCCCTGACTGGTCTCTGATATGTCCCTGACTGGTCCCTGACATGTCCCTGACTGGTCCCTGATATGTTCCTGACTGGTCCCTGATATGTCCCTGATATGTCCCTGACTGGTCTCTGATATGTCCCTGACTGGTCCCTGATATGTCCCTGACTGGTCCCTGACATGTCCCTGATATGTCCCTGACTGGTCTCTGATATGTCCCTGACTGGTCCCTGATTTGTCCCTGACTGGTCCCTGACATGTCCCTGACTGGTCTCTGAAATGTCCCTGACTGGTCCCTGATATGTCCCTGACTGGTCCCTGACATGTCCCTGACTGGTCTCTGAAATGTCCCTGACTGGTCCCTGATATGTCCCTGACACGTCCCTGACTGGTTTCTGATATGTTCATGACTGGTCCCTGACTGGTCCCTGATATGTCCCTGACTGGTCCCTGACATGTCCCTGACTGGTCTCTGAAATGTCCCTGACTGGTCCCTGATATGTCCCTGACACGTCCCTGACTGGTTTCTGATATGTTCCTGACTGGTCCCTGACTGGTCCCTGATATGTCCCTGACTGGTCCCTGATATGTCCCTGACTGGTCCCTGACTGGTCTCTGATATGTCCCTGACACGTCCCTGACTGGTTTCTGATATGTTCCTGACTGGTCCCTGATATGTCCCTGACACGTCCCTGACTGGTTTCTGATATGTTCCTGACTGGTCCCTGACTGGTCTCTGATATGTCCCTGACATGTCCCTGACTGGTCCCTGATATGTCCCTGACTGTTCCCTGATATGTCCCTGACTGGTCCCTGATATGTCCCTGACTGGTCCCTGATATGTCTCTGACTGGTTCCTGGTATGTCCCTGACTGGTCCCTGATATGTCCCTGACTGGTCCCTGATATGTCCCTGACTGGTCTCTGATATGTCCCTGACATGTCCCTGACTGGTCCCTGATATGTCCCTGACTGTTCCCTGATATGTCCCTGACTGGTTCCTGATATGTCCCTGACTGGTCTCTGAAATGTCCCTGACTGGTCTCTGATATGTCCCTGACTGGTCCCTGATATGTCCCTGACTGGTCCCTGATATGTCCCTGACTGGTCCCTGATATGTCTCTGACTGGTTCCTGATATGTCCCTGACTGGTCTCTGAAATGTCCCTGACTGGTCTCTGATATGTTCCTAACTGGTCCCTGACTGGTCTCTGACATGTCCCTGACTGGTCCCTGACTGTTCTCTGATATGTCCCTGACTGGTCTCTGACATGTCCCTGACTGGTTTCTGACATGTCCTTGACTGGTCCCTGGTATGTCCCTGACTGGTCCCTGATATGTCCCTGACTGGTCTCTGACTGGTCCCTGACTGGTCCCTGATATGTCCCTGACTGGTCCCTGATATTGTTGCAAGTCCCAGCAGCCGGTCAAGGCTTAGAAACAGTGGTCAGAGACAAGGGTCACACAAGGGTCAAGAGGACAATAGTTCAGGACTTGCTGGTGAGGACAGAACTAGGAAAAGGGTCAAAAGACAGGCTGGCTTCTGTGGATCCACCCATGGACACACCCATGATCCTGCCCCTAACTCCACCTCTGGCGGGAAAAGAAGGACTGGAATGGAGTGAGGACAGTCCATCTGGACCCAGAAGTTCTCAGGAATGCTGAAGGGAGATCTACAATTTGCTACCAACATGAACATTTATGGCCCGTGCTCCCTTTCCAGGAGTGCAACATGAACTTTTGTGCCCTCATGTGAATACTGCATGTAGTGAAAATGATACCAAATGTCTTATGTAGAGCTAAAAAAGTGTATTTGGTAAATGACCTCTTGACCTAAACTGTCAGGAGAGGATGACTTGTGACTCTTTCATTGTTTAGAGCAGTCTCAGGAATGATATAAAAGGATGCAGCTCAGATCGGGCGAGAGGACTCTTGGAAGGAGACTTGGGAGAGTTTTGGGGAGATTCTGAGAAGACAAGAGCTAGTGTAAACTAACTCTTATTTAATCATTTTGAACTAATTCCTCCTTGGGGGATAGCAGTTGTTTTTTATTTACCCATTTTTGTATTTTGATTTTGTAATAAACCTTTTTTGAAAAAGAAACATAATCCTGATTCTTTCAGGTTTTCTCTAAAGCTTCACGTTTGGAGCCCTGGCCATAAATTGCACAGAGGTAAGCATATCGATCATCGGTCCCTGAATTATCGGGACTTACTTTACAGTTTATAATAGAATAATATAAAGAAACCTTAAGATAAGGGAAGTTTTAACTTCCCCCTCCTTGCGAGTAACGAGTTGTCTTAAGGGCGATAAAAACAGGATATTAGAGGTTATTTTGGCTCTGATTGCAGGTTGAAAAAGTCTCTAACAGCTGGAAGGTTGGATTAATAAATAAATTGATAAAATTATGATAGCCTGATCAACTAGCATAAATCATTTTATAGTTACCAACCTCCCACATAAGCTGTTAGAGGCGCACTTAATTCCGGGTAATCCAAACAATTGCTGAGAGGCTTGGCTTGCCTCCAGACTTCTCTCTAGTATCTTAACCAAAAGGTAATGAGTTTAAAAGAAGTGTAGTACTCTGGGGCTGGCTATTCATACAAGTCATTTCACCTTTAAAATAAAAGACAAGATTCTAATTAGATGGTCCAAACCCGGGGCTAGTACAATTATACTCGCCGACATCCCCTCGAACCCTGATGGATGCACCGTCTCATAAGTTCTAACGGAACTGGGTTTTAAAGGAACCGGTAAATGGGACGGGCACGCGACATGGCGCCCAACGTGGGGCACAGAGCGAAGGTTCAAATATTAGATACCGGACTATCCGACGTAGAACTATGTCTTTTAGGCTTCTAAAAGCTTACGCACCATGGACCGGATAAGCTTATAACCTTGGAGTGAAAACCGCACCAATTTCTCGAAAAGGAAAGAAATTTGGGAGAACGGACGATTAACTCAAAGAGGTATAAAGAAATCACGGCTTTCCGACGTAAGAATAGCCAAGGATAAAAGCTAGGCAAAAAAAATAAAAAGGAATAAAGAGTAAGAATAAAGAATAAGACGTGAAAACGAAAAAAAATAAAATAAATAATAAAAAAGAGAAACTTTCAACCAGCCATGGCAGATAGATCTTTAACGGTAAAACCGGAAAATGTTCTCCTTAATGTGAGATTTGTCACCGGAGAAATAGCGACATTTCAAGGTGAACCACAAAGCGTTTTAGCAGTATCCTGTAACCGAAGCTTTCAGAACGATGCCGGCACAGCTCAAGCCGCAGCGGAGCGCTGTCCGAATGCTGAAACTCAAGTAAAGAATAATCATGTATTTCCGTTAGTGGGTGATTTGGTGATTCTAGCAGAACAACAAAATTATCCTGTTTTTAATCAGATAGCGTGGTGTTGTTGGGAAAATCCAGCGAAACTCCCCACGGGCGAGCAATATGAGATCCTTCTGGGATTGCTTGGGCAAATACCAACTGGACCGGAACCTTTAGTTCTCACTCCATTTGGAGTCGGGCAGTACCGATATGATCAGGGAGCGATGTACTCTGCTATGGCAGAGTTCGTGGTTCAACAGACTAATAGTAGAACAATTTACTTCTTATCTAGAAGCAAAAATGAGGCAATTCAAATGAGACAGACGTTATGTAACCGACT